AGACCTGGCAGAGATATTAAAAACACGTTACAATTTCTAATTTCGTCTAAAAATTTACTATTTCTTCGTTATTTTTTTTTTTTTTTTTTTTTTTTTTGGTACAATATTCGGGTTTTTTTTTGCACGAGCGGCGTTAGATTGACTTTTCACTTACGTCATGATATTGTAATAATTTAATACGGGGGGGAAAAAACGTGAGACAAAGTATAAAAGTATTTATAAACTTTTGAAAAATTAGTTCGTATAATAAATCGAAAAGTTATTCCAGAGCGCTTTATTATTAATAATAATATATTTTTCGCTTAATTAAATTAAATTAAAAATATCGTATTTAATTAATCGAAAGCAAGTTTCTTATTCATTCATTCAAGAAAGAAATTTTCAATATCTAATATATTTTTATGAAAAAACTACACAAGCATAAATATCATCAATTGACCGCGTGTAAGAGATAACGTAACAAGAAAATAATACAATAAGTAATTTTAAAAAAAATTACAATAGAACGCTTTATTATTAATTTACATTTCTCGTTTAATTTATAATTTAATTATAAATTAATTAAAAATATATCGTAAATTTAATTAAATTAAATTTTTTACTCGCTTCCCTTAATGGAGAACGAAGAAACTAAAAAAAAAAAAAAATTTACAACGTCTATATCAAATATATTTTTATAAAGAAAGCCTGACGCATAAATATCAATAATTGAACGCGTGTAAGATAATTGAACGAAACTAGAAAAATACGTAATAAAATAAGTAATTAACTAAAAAGACACACAGCGTGCAAACAAAGATCGATGGATCCTAAAGCTTTGAGAGTTCCACAGTCGTTAGCCTCGAATACGCGAGGAGAGGAAATTTTAATAGCAGACACGAGACAGTTTTTTCGAACCGAGCAACCGACAAACTCTCGCCTGTGTTTAACCGCGGCTAACTTCGAGAGAGCAAACGAACGAGCCCGATCGAACCCGCGATCCTCGGTGCACACTTTCGTGAAAGCGGATAGTAGGAGTTAGCGAGGGAAGAAAGCGGGCACCGAACCGAATTCCCCGGTTGTTCGCCCGTGTTTCTCCGTTTACCTTCGCCTAATTGCACGGCAAATCGACCGATTACCACTTGTGTTCCCGTATTCGAGTTTTTGCCATGCGAAAGCCTTTGTCGTTTCTTGGTCGGCGATAAATAATGGCGAGGAACGTTTCTTGTTATATACGTTTTGAAACGATCGAGACGATATTTTTATTCCTCGTGAGAGATGTAGTATTATTTGGTGAGAAAGAAGTCTCGCTTAGGTCTGATTGGCTAATTTGGTATATTAATTCAAAACATCCGTATCTAAACCTCTATTCTAACGTATAATATAAAATTATTTTTATTTTTCATAATACGTAGGCTAATTACGATTTGTAACGATAGTTTAATTTATAAATGTAATTTTGTAATCGAATAATGAAGATAATAATTATATGTATAAGAATAGATATATTAATATTGTATCGAAATAATTAACAGCTTGGAAAATATTTCCTAAGCTCTTCTACTATTATGTAGCGTGTGGTGTCAAGAACGTCAACAAAGCGTGTGAAGTGGGGATAAATGGTCCTAGCCAAGGACCACCTCTCTTGCCCCTGTGCCGTCCCGCAAGACTTTTTTTCCACCAGTGAACGGTACACGTATCTTCGGTTTCACTTTCGTTGAATTATTATATGATGGACGTTTGTGCAAGGTCAATATAAAATTAAATTCTCGTTCAAGTTATAAAATTTTGTATAAACAGTCCATTTATTACGAATAGATTTGTGTATTCTTACGTTTCTTAATATATTTTAGTAAAAGATAGCACGATTTTGTATAGAATAGTTGCCAGCTATAACTTTTTCTTTCTATTTGCGTCACATATACACTGATCCAAAACGACTATCCGTATCTAAACCTCGAAGCATCGGTATATACATGGAATCCAGAATATTCTAACGTGTAATATAAAATTATTTTTATTTCTCGTAATACGATTTGTAACGATGATTAAATTTATAATTGTAATCTCGTATTCGAGTAATTAAGATAATAATTATACACGTACGAATATTATCGAAATAATTAATAGTTTCGAAAATGTTTCAATCCCTCCTAATCCCTAATGATTATCGATTTTGAACATTCAAATTGTAGCTCATCTATTATTACGCATTGTGTGGTGTCAACGGGATTATCAACAAAGGGTGTGAAGTGGGTTTCCATTTCCCGCGAGACTTCTTTCCAGCCAGTGAACATTAGAGAGGATTCATATTGCTTTATGTCGATCTCGATTGGTGGGCGGAACATTGTTCCGTTGAAACATAAAAACTAGTTAAAAATAAAGTTACTTCAAGTATATATATATTATAGTCCACTCTTTTCCTCTACACTGTTGCCACTGTTATTCCGAGTGTTTCGAACAATAAATTATCGAAGTAACTTCATTTTCGACTTGGACTATCAAATTTTCACCATCTATATTGGCGTAAAGTGAATAATTAGGGCAGGAAATGCGAGTTGTACTTACGGGCTTGGATCCTGAAGGAGAGTCGCCAATGTCAATGCGTTCACCCATTGATTCATGCTTTCACGGCTGTCGGCAGCGAAGTGATAGGTCCTCATGTTAGCGTGTTCAGCTTTGAACGCGAACTTCCTGTTAACTTTGTCCTCCGGTTTGCACACAGTGACCCTGTACGATGGCAACAATATCGAGCCCAACAATTTCTCCTCTTCAGGACCTGAAATCAGTTTTTCCTTTTCTTCCTTTTTGACCGATTGAACACGATTTCTCGAAACTCGAGGAAAATAAGGAAGAATTTGAATTTTCGAAGCGAAACAGCGAATCTCGAGGAATTCTCGCGATACAAATTTCCAACTGGTCCAAATTTCATCAGAATTTCGAGAACTTTTCTCGTTTCCTCTTCGTTACCGCCATTCGTGGAATGTTTTATTATATGCATGGCTAACGAGAACGGCATACAAATGTGATGTATTCAAGACAGGGGACGGGAATCTTGGAATAATACGTTTCTTAAGAGAAGCCATTTAAATATATACACATGATTCAAAATCTCTTTTGTATCTGTGTTCATGCGATTCAGTGTGTGTTAAAATACAATTTTCTCTCTCTCTCTCTCTCTGTCGCAGCCATTCGACGATGGACAGAAAAAAATTGGAAAGAAAAGACCGCAATTTTAACGCCGTGCAATTCGTTCACCCGCCCAGAAATGTACAAAACTTTTCGAAAGCGAAGATTAAACAATCTCGAGAACTCTCGGCGCCTCGATTCACCCAGGCTTTGGACGAAGGAAAAAGTGTTGTTATTATTGTTATAAAAAATAATGGAACATTTGTTGAACCTGAAAATTCAATTTCCTTTTCAAGATCCTCCATCTTTTAATAAAAAGTTCCAACTATCGAACCTAATATATGACAAATATATAACTAAATATATAAAATTAGAGGAATCGAGAAAAAATTTAAAGAAAAAGATGCAAAACCATCCTGTTTCACAGCGAATAATTTGGAGATAAAATTCCAAAAATGTCAAAAGGAAGCGAGAAACAATCGAAAAATTGTGTCAGAAGTGTCGACTTTTCCGAAAAAAGGGAAAAAAATTTTTGGACCAAATTTTTTTGCTCAGAGAGACGTGGAGGAAATCATTTTGCATGGGGTGACGAATGGAAAGATTCGATTTGAAAATCGCTAACGTCATTGACACGGGTTAACGCGGGTTGCAATGCTCCTCCCACCCAACTCCGTGGACATAAATCGTGGACGCGCTCAACAGAGGAAGAGGAAGAGGATAAAAAGGGTCTTATAAATTTGGGGAATGGAGGGGAACAATGACACGGATTGGGAAAGAGAAATTCGTTGGAATTTTAAAAATTGTCAGAGTGTTATCTCTTCTCTTCGACAAGATTCTTTTTTATTATTATTATTATTATTATCGTAATAATGATCGATGTACAATCCTTCATAATTCGTTGCACTCGTTTTCAGAGCTAATAATAAGATAAACGTTGTACAAAGTTGTTAAAAACTGTGTTACAGAAGAGTATTACAGAAGGATTTCCCCCTCCACACCCTCCCCTTGTTCTTCGTCTACTCGTGTTCTCGGAATATTGTAAGAAATACTGTAACGGCTGTAATTATAATTTTTTTTTTTATCGAACATATCTCAAGTTACGTGAGATTATATAATTTATTCGATAAGCATAAGCATAGAAATTAAGCTTATTAGCGTTCCAAGAGGGCAATTCATCGAATTAATCTTGCGCGATTAATGTTACGTAGGCGCGGAGTTGATGCATAACGGAGTTCGATAAATAACGGGTGTTGAATTGGTGGCGGTTGCGACTAATCAATTCGTTCGATTCGATTAATTTTTCCTTTCACCACGAATAATAATCCACAATCGATTAAACGACAAATTATTTACGAGTGAGAGAAAATCTCGTAACAACGATCGAAAACATTCAAGGGTGACAACGGTCCGATACACGTGCTCGCTCAATAATGGAAACGAGCCTTTAACGCCTTTCATCACCGGCCATTATTGATATTTAACGCGCGCGAATATTAAAATCCTTGTTAAACCGGGAAAAAAAGAGAGAGAGAGAGAGAGAAAGAGAGTTTCACGCTTAGGTGGAGGGAAAACGCAACCGGTTAACTAATTTATACAGGTGGAAAATAATGAGCCAGACGCACATTGTTTCCATTGTGCGTGCGTCGCGGAATATCGCGTTAATTAACAACGCGGAGTCACGCGAATGGAGGTTGGTTCCATTCCATTCCGTTCCGTTTCGTTCCACGAAAGAAAAGCTTCACGCTCAAATGAAAATTACGAAAATCGTTTATGGATTGGCGGAATCTGGGGAAAAAAAAAAATAATCACAGTTTTCGAAAAGAAGGTGAGAGTATTTTGAATCGAAGTTTAATACGAGGTTAAATAAAGCAATAAATTGATATTTTTTTATCACGAAAAGGGAACTCGGTGGATAAAAAAGAATAATAATTCCGATTTCATAATTCTCGAAATTCTGTGGGAAAAAAAAAATAATTATAATCTTTCGAAAAAAAAGTGCGAGTATTTTGAATCGAAGTTTGAATATGAAGTTAAATGAAGCAATAAATTGATATTTTTTTATCACGAAAAAGGAACTCGGTGGATAAAAAAGAATAATAATTTGGATTTCATAATTCTCGAAATTTTATGGAAAAAAAAAAACATCACAGTTTTTGAAAAAAGATGCGAGTATTTTATTTAACAAGTTAATAAAGCAATAAATTGATATTTTTTATCACGAAAAAGAAACTCGGCGGATAAAAAAGAATAATAATTTCGATTTCATAATTTCTATTCTGCTCGAGGAGCGAAAGAAAAGGAATGAAAAAAGATGGGAAGTAAAAGTCGTAAGTATCTACGAAATTGGGGAACTCGTAAGTAATTAGTGTTCCTGAGAATGGAACAGAAGTGGTTCGACGAACGTAAAATTGGTGGAGTGTGGATGGCGAGAAACAAGGGGGAACGGCCGGCTGGAAAGTTGAAACCGAGCCAAAAGTCTACGCGTGGCCAACGTGGAGAAGGAAAATTGTTGACTTCGGTGTTCTCTCTTATCGAAACGCGAATTTTCCCTGTGCGGAGATAGCAAAAACGATAAATTAAACGATGATGAGAAAACAACAAGAGGAAAAAATTAAATCCGAAGATCATCAAGATGGAAGAGACTGGACCGATCAATGGTCGAGTAATACTACTTTCGACCTTATCGTATCGATAATCTGGCAGACTAGGAGAACAATTTAACAATTTTACAATTAAGAATAATATTTTGCTTAAAAAATTTATTTAAAACTTATATTATATACTCTTTGCGGGAAAAGAAATTTTCCTCATTCGGTTTTAAAATTACGACTGAATAGAACGTGAAAGAAAATAAAAAAGGAAAGAAAAAAAAATAAACAAAAACAAAAGCGAGAAAGAAATAGGTATTCTCGTGAATGAAACCACTAGAATTACGAGTCGCGTGTCGAGAACCGCCTTGTGTTCGAGAGAGAGAGAGAGAGAGAGAGAGAGAGAGAGAGAGAGAGAGAGAGAGAGAGAGAGAGAGAGAAGAAGAAGAAAGAAAGAAAGAAAGAAAGAAAGAAAAGAAAAGAAAAGAAAG